AGGGCGAGGCCGTGCCCTCCCGCCCGCCCACCAGATCCGGGGCACACGCAGCCCTCCCCAACCTCCACGGCTGGACCACAGAGTGATGACATCACTTCCCCTCCCCGAGCCTGGTGACTCACGCTCAGGGAACCGCCCCAGGAAGCAGGTAAACACCAGCCTCCCTGGGGAGCACATGGGGGCACAAGCGAGGACCCACGAACAAGGTCGGGGGCAGAGCGAGGAGATCCCAGACTCCGGGCATGTGCTCCTGCCGCTACCTCCGAAGCAGACACCTGGGGAGGTCGCCGCACCTCTGGCTGTCCTCCTACCTGCCTCCAGCAGGTCTGCTCCTTACCCGGGCCCCATCCCCTGTCGCCTGGCACCAGAACTGTGCCCTCGCTTTAGAGCTGCATAAACAGCCCCTGCCCACAAGGAGCCACGTTGGAGCAAACTGGCAGGCGCAGCGGGGAACACCCATTCGCAGTGGGTTACGAGAGTCAAGACACCACCAAGCCGGGCTCCGTGGAGTCCTCCAAAGCTCCCAGCTCCGCAGCCTTCAGCCCAGGCACAGAGAGAACACGGGTAGCCAAGGCTTTCAGTGTGGCTGCAGTCAAGGCAGAGAGATTTTGCAGAGGCAAGAAAAATAAAAGCTCCTCGCTGAGAGCCCAACTTTGCACACTCATCTGGACAGGGCAGCCAGCCAGCTCCCCAGGGTCAAGGCTGTTCCACGGGCCGAGAAACCCCACTTCCCCATCCAACACACCTGGCGCTCAGCCGCAGGTCCAATTTTCAAAGCCACAGGGGAGCTAATGAGTTGAGATCAGCTGCCAGATAGATCCTGGAGCCGCAGCAAGCTGGACTGAAATACAGCCCTGGCGCAGGACAGTCCCAACACCTCCCAGGGCAATAGAGAACGCCTCTAGGGGACGAGGGCTCCCCAAATGAAAATAATAGGTAGCAGGTTTAAAACAAACAAAAGGGCGTTTTTCTTCATGCAGCGCACAGTCAACCTGCGGAACTCCTTGCCAGAGGATGTTAAGACCATGCCTGGTGGTAGCTGGAAAGCAACCCACGGGCAACAGCAAGTTCGCCCCGCAGCTGGCCCGAGGTGACCTTACCTTCTGCCCTTCTCCGGAGTCTCCCAAGAGAGCACATCCAGGAAAGGATACACTTTCACAGCTCCCGATTTGGTGCCGACTGCCATAATTCTCAGCTTGGGGTCGTAGGCCAGGGAGCTCGGCTGGTTGGGGAACCCATGTTCTACCGTCTAGGAGGAAGACGAGAGAAATGAGACAACGTCACCCGTCAGAGTCCAGCGGTGCGAGACGGACTCGTTGTGAGCCCCAAGAGAGGGTCACCCGTGGCCCCACTCAAAACCTCCCGCCGGGGCAGTGTGTGCACAACTTCAGTCGCATCCTTATTTACCGGGCCCACAAGATCTCGCCATGTGCAGCCCACCCCTCCCTGCAGTGCTGGGGAGGAGCCGGGAGGAGAAGGACTCACGCTCTTGGAGGCCGAATCCCCGAGCAGCTGCAGGCAGCCCTGCCCTGTTAACCCATTGCCCAGGTGGGCTAGGCAAGACCCACACACCCCAGCCTAGCCCTTGGGCAAGCTTGAGCCCTGGCATGGACCGAAAACAGTCAGACCACGTCTTCCCTGCTCCTCAGAGCGACTTGTGCTCTGACAAGCCCTGCAGAGCTCAGCCCAGGATCAGGGCCGAGAGCAGCGTTCCCCAAAAGCAGCCGCCCAGGAGGGATTCATCAGTGCACATAAAATTTATTCCACACATGGGTGGAAAAAACTTAAGGGGAACATTGACCCGGAGGGTTCAGAGCGTAGGAAGCTGGGCCCTGCCCCAGATGGCAGCACGACAGGGAGAGAGTCAGGACAACAGGTCCAATCACCCCACACGCGGTGAACAGCTGCCTAATCTAGCAGCCCTGGCTCGAGACAGCTTGCGGCGACCGAGCGGGACGCAGAGAAAGAGAGTGGCCAATCCCTGAGCATCCCAGGGTCTGCCAAGCCTTTCAAACAGCTGCACGCAACAGCCAGGAGGCAGCGCCAGCCTCGCCTTCGCGCGGGCCTCCGCCTGCTCTTTGCAGCAAGGGCTCCGAGCAGCAGCTACAGGAGCAGCGCTCCAGAGACAGCCGGAGGCCTTCTCTTGCTGGCCGCAGCCTCCCCTCCGGAAAGTTAAGCGCCCCCGCAGCCCGCCGGGGGCAGCTGCGGCCTCTCCTCTCACAGCTCCCACCTCAGGGGCCTCCCAGGCGGCCAGGAGTTCGGAGAAGTGGACGGGAGGAAGAGGGGAATGGACTCGTCAGGCTTGGCTGGAAGAGCAGCCTGGAGCAGTGGCTCCCTCCCCCCCGCCTCCCCCGAGCGGTCCCAGCTGCCCTCCGTCCATCCAAGGACCAGGCGGTTGGGGGATTTTTTCAGGACCAACCCGCAAGCCTCCTTGTGGCCAGTTCCCGCCCCCTCTCTCAAGGGCTGGGGTCAAGCTGAGCTCAGCGCAGGAAGGAGAACGAAGCTTGGCTCTCGCGCCGCGGACACTCCCCTCTTCCCTCACGGCCCCTTGGCAAGCAGCATAGCTCCGGGCAGCCCCCCAGAGAACACGTTCCTCACCCTCAGAACGGGGCCCCCCGCGGCCGAGCAGGGGGGCATGGGCATCCTATTCGCTAGCAACCAGAGCTGGGGAGCAGCAGGCCCGAGGGGAGCTCCCCTCAGCAACTCGACGAACTTCACTCATCTGCCACACGGAGAAACAGGATGTTTTGGCACCGACAGCGCTCAGAACGGCGTTATCCAGGAAGTGGCATCGGCAAGAGCCCCCGTTACAGGCGCAGAGCACAGGACGGTACATTCCTCCTGCCCCAAGCGCATGAGGCTCATCCCCTCCGCAGATGCTCAGGGGTACGACCCATCCCGCCAACAGGGCCATCTAACACGGGGCCACAGCAGGCTCTCCCCAGGGCTGTGCCACTGTCTCCAGGACTAGGGCCAGTCTATGTGCACAATGCTGGGCCGCTGCAGCGTGTCTGGTGAAGATGCTCCGTGCCGATGGGACAGAGCTGGCTGGCACAACACAGTCACCTCCACAAGCGGCAGCAA